AGTAGCAGCAGTAGCAGCAGTAGCAGCAGTAGCAGCAGTAGCAGCAGTAGCAGCAGTAGCAGCAGTAGCAGCAGTAGCAGCAGTAGCAGTAGTAGCAGTAGTAGTATCAGTAGTAGTAGCAGCAGCAGTAGCAGTAGTAGCAGTAGCAGTAGTAGTAGCAGAAGCATGCAGCAGCAGTAGTAGTAGCAGAAGCAGCAGTAGGAGTAGCAGTGAGTAGTAGCAGTAGCAGTAGTAGTAGCAGTTACTGTAGTATAGTAGCAGAAGCAGCAGCGGCGGCGGTAGCAGCACTCACAACATTTATTACGCCCAGTCTCCAAATCCGTGAATAAAACATCTCAAGAACATCTAATATATAACACACTAACACTATCTAGAGACAGCTCCAGTTAACGTCTTTCGGGGCCGCAACCATAACGGTGCTACGCCCAACAGCGTAAAAACCTAACGCATGTGCATGGAAATAATACATGAACCGTTTCGAGCTGTCTCTTCGATATCGGAAAACATTACAGCCAGTTACAGTAACTTACAGTAAGTTACAGTAACAGTTACAGAGCTTGGCATGGCCACGTAGGTATTACTAATTCAGGGTCATTCTTACTACATTGGTGGCGAGACCGACTGTTAACAGGGATCAGGATGCCATCGTAGGAACGATGGGTAGGCTTACTTACTAACTATAACAGCGCTTGTTATTGCTGCTGCTGTTGCTGTTGCTGTTGCTGCTGTTGGTGTTGTTGTTGCTGCTGCTGCTGCTGCTGCTGCTGCTGCTGCTGCTGCTGCTGCTAGTGCTGCTGTTGGTGTTGTTGTTGCTGCTGCTGCTACTGCTGCGGCTAGTGCTGCTGCTGCTGCATCTGCTGCTGTTACTACTGCTGCTGCTGCTGCTGTTGTTGTTGTTGTTGTTGTTGTTGTTGTTGTTGTTGTTGCTGCTGCTGCTGCTGCCGTTGCTATTGCTGCTGCTGCTGTTGTTGTTGCTGTTGCTATTGCTGCTGCGGCTACTGCTGCTGCTGTTGTTGGTGGTGGTGTTGCTGCTGTTGTTGTTGTTGTTGTTGTTGCTGCTGCTGCTGCTGCTGCTGCTGCTCCCATTGCTACTACCGCATATTGCAGCATAAAGCGTAACCTCCACGGACGTGCGTATCTATATAACTCTGGCGGCTCTCCACGGGCGGAAGATTGAGCGAAATGCTCAACTGGTAAAGCTATTTCGTAGGTTCGTACGTACCCCCCCCCCCTCCCCCAATTAGTATAATCTTGTTGCATCGCAAAGGGACCCGTATATTCGCAGTTGAGGTTTCACTTGTGCTCTTTAGCACTAACTTTGAAGAGAGCCCACCCCCAACCAATCAAAACCTCACAAACCCCAAACAAAACCTTGATTCCCAAACAAGTGGTCACGTTAAAATTTGATGCGATTCTGCGCGTAGGAAAAGATAAATATTTACAATGAGTAAACGTAGAATGTATGACTCATCGTGCAACCTTGTCCAAGAACGCCCGGATATCGGCAAATGATGTCGCTCATAAAGCTCTGCCCCACATTCACCTACGTTACAATACTGAATTATCACGTCGTTAATACGTTGATTTATTAACATTCACGGACTTCTCTTGCAGCAATATAGCTCATGTACAGAACCCGCGTAGCAAAATCAGTGCGCGGAATAACTTATGAACAATTCGCATAATCAGTTCAGCATCGCCTTGCACTTTTAATCACAAAACACCCGATAATAATTCTAGTAACAATTAATTCCGCGAAGATTTCACGACCAAGTTCTGACTAATTGTTTGTATTTAATGAGCCTATCATCTGAATTGTTGTCTGTTCTCTGGGACTCGCGATGAACGGGTCTGACTGGTCTGGTTACCTTAACCCACCCCCACCTCCCACCAACATCGGCTCGAATATCGCGCTCTATTGAATGTGCGATCCATACGCAGGTATACACACAACCCGCATAACGCTCAATTCGATGAGACTAACTCCAGCATTCCAAAGCGATGAGTTGGAGCAGTGACATTAGTGGTAATGGTTCGCGACTGTAGATGGCACTGTATTCTATCTCCCGCCACGCAAAACTCGGCTACATCACACAACTCGATTCGGGTTCGGCGTGCATGCACACTGAATGATCACGTACGTGCCTAACAATAATAACGGTCGTTTCCCCGCAGATCACAGTAATACCAGGCTGCCACCGTCCGCCACGGCTAGAAGGGGTCAAAAACCACTCTCATGCGGAAGATACGCGCCTATTATTCCAAACAACACCCATTATTACATCTATAATTACTAGCACTGCCCACGCGACACGTCCTCAACAATTTCGAATGTTGTCGCGGCTACGAGTGTCGCGAAGCGCGCGGTGTATATCACACATCTCCACGCTGCCTTATTCTCTCTACACTCATATGTCTTCTGGTGGACTAACCTTCACAGAGGGCCGCACCATGCCAACGGCCACGATCAGTAAATGCTTGCTCTAGATGTGTCTAGTCTCTATCTATATATAGAGTGTGTCTCGGTGCCTGCGACATCGGCGCTGGTAGTTAATAAGCTATTAGTAGTTCCTGTTGACGTTTCGTCTCTTACGACGTCGTAATAGAACAGTGGGCGAGATGAGGCCATCAGGAATTAACGCGACTCCGCTCAAGTCCACGCGTTTTCGCATTTCTACGAGCAAGGGCAAATCTGACAATAACACGACCCCCACTTCAGTGCTAATACTTTCGCATTTCCATTTGCTCACGGGGTTGGCGCCATGCTCTCTCTCGGTTCTCCTCTCAGCTATGCAGACCCTTATCGTTCTTTTACTCCAGCAAATCTGTCGTGCAAACCCCAAGGGGATTAGAAAAAACGTTATAGCTTCCCGTCCTCTATCATCCACGTCTGTTTATGTCAGAAGTGTATAATATAGAGAATATCTATCTATAGAAATCTACAGACTATATCTCTATATTAAACACTCCTGACTACGTCTCATTCGATTATTAACTGTCTGACATGTCACATATATATTATCGTGCGAAAGTGTTGGACATCGGCACGGCGCCACCTAGCGGATTAGACTACAACGCACAGCAGGGTGCTTCGCGGAGGCGGGAAAGAAGGGCGAGATCAAGTCAGTATATAGGTAGGTGCGAGCCGTACGCTCTTATCTCTACACACACGCGCCGCGTGCCACGCCCGCCTGCCACGCCCAACCTGCCACGCCCCACCTGCGGTCTCGCGGCGGGCGCGTCTCTTCGCGCTCGTA